TAATTTTCTGGAAACTTCTGTCTTCTCTTGAGGTCAAAGTGACAAGTTACCTTTCACCTCTAGAGGAAGATTCACATCTGAGGTCACTCAACTGTACTCTGCTAGCATTGGCTCGTGGGAAATGGGATCAATGGCCATGTAGCATGGCTTGAAAGAAACACAAATTAAGTGTTTCAAGCATTTTACAGAGAGATCCCTGTTTCCTCCTTAACCAAGGTGGTAGAAAATATAACAGAAAATAGCAAACTAGCATATAGCCTCTTTCTGTATTCATGGAAAACGATGCTTCCTTTTGAACTTATTATTAGAGTATTCTTCTCTCCCCATCATTCCCTGCCTCTCCTCAGCCTCATCCACTCATATACACCCCAGCCTGGATAATAATGAGAAATTCAGACTGGTGTTCACTTGACAATGTCTCCACTTGCATAATTACCTGCAATGTAGGACAAGCATTTTTATTTCATTTGATTTACCTCATTCATCGTGAGATTGAAAAGATAATGCTCAAAAGAGTGCTTCCTCCTCCATTAAATATATGGATTTCTGTGTGGGGGTGTGGACACAAAGGTCATGGCAAAACAAGGAGACATTTCCAATACCATGCCAAATTTATAAAAGAAAGTCACCGAGCCTTGTTGAATTAAACTTCCTTCCTCGCTCAAATTGGTAAAATCCTGAAAAGTTAGAAAGGGCCCAAGGCTAGGAGACTTTTCTTCTACAAACCTCATAGGCTTTACTGCAAATACCTAAAGTATGATGGAGGAAAGGGTGAGCCATGTGAAGGATATATGAAATATATGTGATATAAAGCCATCAAACCAAACTGGAAAATTACATACTTACTGTTTTCAGACTCCCTCTGTCAGTTCTATTTCTGAACTAAAAGTCATCACAATTCAAAGAATTAACTCAAAAACAAAACAGAAGAAAGGTTGTCCAAGGCCACTTGTAGATGGACACACAGGAAGATATATACATGTGCCATGTGAGAGGCGAAAGGTACCAATGAAAGAGGCTTTGCAATGCCTCACCACAGCCTAAGACCTGGGTTGTTCAGACAGATACTCTAGTGATCAAGCATGGATGGTCCTAAAATGAACACAAAATGTGAAGCAATTTTGCATAGTAATGCCTTTAAGTTTACAGAACATAGCTAAACAATCATCTAGAATACATTATTTTAAGTATTTATTATGAAATTTGTAATGGGATAATTAGAAAGGCCGTGTTTAGGTCACTGCTTAGGAGAGAAAGGTGCAGCCAACATCAGGAAGGACCTGGAAGTCCAGAAGACAGTCACCCAGGCTGCATGCCTCACTCATTCACTCTGAGTACCTTCTCATTTCCTTCACATTACTCCCATTCACTTTGCACAGTAAGAAGCAGAAAAATTAAAGGAGGGAGAAGGAATTACATTTATTATTATATATTATATTATATCCATGGGTTCTGTCAAGACCCATTTAAGCAAAGGGAACGGTAAAGACAGTCCTTCCTTTGGCTTGCTTCTTTGTCCACTTGCTAACTCTGGCGTGCTTTCTCCGTATGGTTTCTAGCGTGTCTCTGATAACTCCTTTAAGTTTCTCAGGACAACATGCAGACCACCACATCAGAGCGGAACGTAATGAAAGGCTCCTTTGCCGAGTAGCAGTCCCCCTTCCCCCAGCAAACCATTTCTCCAGATGAAAGACTGTGGCAGTATGCTGAGGGCATCAGCATACCTCCAGTATCCATAATTCTCTTTCACATACTGAGAAAGCTACTGGTATGACTCAAAGCATGAGTAACTGGTGTTAAAATTCCAGTCCATTTCCGAGGAAGGATCTACAGACATATTAGGAAAAACCAAATATCCTTGCTCCTATAAAACGCCAATGGAAAGATCTTTACAATATTTCCTTTGCTTGATGTATTTGACAGGTAATATTGTACGTGTTAACCACGTGTAATATGATGTTGTGATATGCACATGCACTGTAGAATGGGAAAATTAATACACCCTCCACTCACTTCTCCTTTCATAATAAATACTAATCAAATTTTGTTTCACAAACACCTCATTCCAAGGGAGGAGGAAATTACTTTTTTAGCTGAAATAACCTATGCATTCTAAGTACCTGGTGAGCAAGTAAGTTTAAAGAAAATGCCAAGAGTGCAATGAGTCAGAAAACTGCCTTGAGGTCCTCTCTCTAGAGTGTGACTAATGTCATGAGGTAGGCCTTTGGATCACAGGCCTATTATCAATAGCTTATCTTTTTTTAAAAATCCATTTTCTGCTTTGGGGAAAATCTTTCCACTTATCAAAACATCTAAACTGTTCAAATTTGTTGAACATCAAAGTGAGTAATTTTAAAACCTTAAAATTGCAATTATAATTTGATTTCCATACGTTTGCTTCTGTTGAAATGAGCTACTTTGTGTTTGTCAGGCATATGGTCCTTTACTGAATCACACTGACTGATCTCAAGTTAACTGGCTGTCTCTACCCTCCTATATTAAAATCTTTTAAGGAAGGAATAGTTCTAAAACAATTCAGGGTAGTCTTGCATCCAAAACCCACCAGCTGTTCTGTAAGTTCTGCAGAGGGAACCAGGTGTCCAAAGTGGAACTCAGGAAACAGTCCCAGCTGGTTGGTCCTGGTGATATCCATGAAATAGTCTAAAGGTTCAGCTCCCTGCTGTTCATGGAGACCAAAACAGTTGTGGAACATTGAATTAAGGCCTTATACCAGAGGCTCTATAATACCATATCCCACAGAAATCAGCTGCTTGGGGCTGAGTGAGTTAGATTTTTAACTTTGCCAGACTGAAAATCCCTAAGCACAAACTGAAATTTAAAAGGAGCTTACTATCTTCTGTAAATAAAAGTTCAAGAAAGCCCTTGCTTCAAGTATTGCATTCTCTTTAAAATCCTCAGACGGGGAGCTTTGAAAACCCATTTTCAAATGAGTTTTCCCGACATCTATATATTATAAAAAACCTCTCAGGTTTGATCCCCCCCAGTTTTTAAAAAAAAAAAACCTCCCCTGGTGGTGGGGTGGGGGGGGGGACTCTAAGTTTTTTTAATTAGCTCATTTCCCAAGTTTATGGAAAAATAACTCAGGCAGGATAAAGGAAAGAGGTTTATACAGGTCACAATTTTAGAGTCCAAAATTCCAAACAGCGTGCCATTAGCTCTGGTGAGAGTCCTTCTTTGTGTCATGACAGACATTCATGCTAGAGGAGGGTACCACATAGCCAGAGGAAGCCCAGCACGATGCGGGGCAGTGGTCCTTCTTACCCATTTCTAGCATTCCTTTCTCAAGTCCCAACCAGGGTTAGAATGACCAGGTCAATTCATTTTGGGACAAAACCCAAACCAACAGCCTGAAGATCTCCTGCTACTCTTGTCTCTTAAAAGCCCCCTCATTGTTAAGTATCATCACACTAGAGGCCAAACTGTGAATATGTGAACCATGTAAAAAAAAATCAAACTACAGTGGTTTCACTGAAACCTGAGGCCATCTCTATTTCCTATAACCCCCATCTCTTAAATTCTTCATGCCCTGAACTAATAACAGAGCCTACTGAACAACTCACGGAAAGAGAATAGGAAGAAAGTCATTCCCCAGAGTAAAGCTGGGATACTATTAAAGAATTTGAATATATAAACACTTAATGGGGAAAACAATAGGAGGTAACTATACACAGAATGTGTTCTACCATCAATCTACTTTATCATTATAAACTCCCATCATACAATTTTCTATAGTCTTTCAAGACAAACAACACTCCCAGCTAAATAGCTAGGGGGGGAAATACATTCTATTTTTACCTGGATGCTCACAATAGCTTAATACACTACAGCCAAAAGCTGTATGCCAGTCACTTCCTCTTGACAAATAACTAGGTTAAGGAGCTGGGGTATAGTCATGCAATGATAAACTTCTTAGCAATTTAAAGGGAAGGATTTTTGATGCATGCAGCTAAACACTGATTTTGATGACAGTGATTTCACAGATACATATGTCAAAACTTACCAATTGTACTATGTATAATTTCTTACATGCCAATAGCAATTCAATAAAGACCTTACAAATAAAGCAAAAAAAATCTTAGATTTCTATCACCACTGGGTGAGGGCTTATTCATCGTAACACACACTTTCCCCTACTTCCTAGCCTCTGTATTACTTTCCCCTCGTATGCACTGCCATTTCTTGGTAAAAAATTGACCCTTCAGCATGCCAAATATGTTCATTGTACCATTTCAACTCTACGCCTTGACTGGAGTTGTTTTTCTCCTTCTAAAATGGTCTATGCCCACCACCATGTTCTTACTTGAGCTTTAAGACAAAATATGGGCTTCTGGACTGCTTGGCACCTTACTTTGCCCCTCACCTGTTATGTTCAATACTATGATCATGTCCATGCTCCCCAGCAGCCAGTACATGGATATGCCTATGATGTGTACCAATGCACATGTAGAGAAACACATGTCCTTGCACTACAATAGTGTTCAATAATTTCAAATCCATCCATATGTCTAAAATGTTCTCTCATATGTTTAGAATCATTATCCACTCTCTGGTAGTTCCCCATGCCAGTTGCACCAATCACAGTGATTGCCACATTAAAAACAAAGAAACAAGCTAAGCATGGCAGTGCACATGTAAGATCCCAGAACCTGGGAGTTAGAGGTAGGAGGATCATAAGTTCAAGACCAGCCATGCTGTATAGCAGGTTCAGTCTGGGATACATGAGACTATCTCCAGTCAATAAACAACACCAAAAATTGCCATGTTTTCTATGGTAATAACTCTTTTTTATAGGAAAGAAAAGTTGTAATTAGGAAAATTTATCCCATGGGCACTCAGTTGTAAACAGTCTATTACTTTGAAAGAGTCCTGGGTCTACTCTCAGGGTCTTCCATTAACTGTCGATGATTTCTTAAGGGAATGACCCCTGTCTTTCAAGTGGTGTCTCTAAATAATCCCTCGGCTCTTCTCCTGTTTCCTAGATACACCAAGATGAAGACTGCCACTAACATCTACATTTTCAACCTTGCTCTGGCAGATGCCTTAGCAACCAGTACACTGCCCTTTCAGAGTGTCAACTACCTGATGGGAACGTGGCCCTTCGGCACCATCCTCTGCAAGATCGTGATCTCAATTGATTACTACAACATGTTCACCAGCATATTCACCCTCTGCACCATGAGTGTGGACCGCTACATTGCTGTTTGCCACCCAGTCAAGGCCCTGGATTTCCGTACCCCCCGAAATGCCAAAATTGTCAATGTCTGCAATTGGATCCTCTCTTCTGCCATTGGTCTGCCTGTAATGTTCATGGCAACCACAAAGTACAGACATGGTAAGGGTGAACATGGGTCAAAGTCAGGGATGAGGGTACTTAGAGTCTGATGTGTTGGTGATGTCCTGAGCCAAGCAGCATTCATGGTATAGTATCTTTGTCAAGCTGTACTTTGAATTAAGAAACTGGTTAATTAATTAAGAAATAAGAAAATGTCTTTAAATATACTGAAACAGGAAAATTTCTCTATAATTACAGGCCTTCTAGGTATTTTAGTAAGTACAAAGCCTAGGTATTCCTGATTTCTCTGAACTTACTTTGTCAAAGGGCTGAATAAATGAGAACATAGCTTTTCCAAAAGTAATTAAAGCTTAAACCCAGAGAATGTTTCACTGAGGCTTGTTCTAAATTTTCAAGCAGTTGTCTGCCTGACAAATTTACCTGTCCTGACTTAACAGCAGCTGCCATCCTGAAGTGGAGGGGAGACATCCATTAGTGAGAAACTCCTGGGAACCTTGGACAATGATTATATATTTTATAACAGCATAAATCCCACGAGCGTTTGATCCATTGTGAGATGTACATAACTTCTCACTTCATAAAATCTTAATGTGATTCAAGTGGGGAGAAAAATGGGAAATGTAGGAAGGGAGAGAAAAAGTAAGTAGCTTCTCTGTGAATAAACAGATGAGTTTCTTCCTTAATGTCTTTCATTCTTTCCTTACCTGTCTATGTAAAGCAACAACCTTCACTAGCTCAGGTCAAAGCTATTAGTAGGCAAAGGAGCAACTTCAGTACCTAATGGTATAACTAAATGTCGCTGCTAATTTTTCTTAAAAAATTCTTTTCTTCCAGGGTCCATAGATTGCACCCTCACGTTCTCCCACCCTACCTGGTACTGGGAGAACCTGCTCAAAATCTGTGTCTTCATCTTCGCCTTCATCATGCCGGTCCTCATCATCACCGTGTGTTACGGACTGATGATTTTACGACTCAAGAGTGTCCGCATGCTGTCAGGCTCCAAAGAAAAGGACAGGAACCTGCGTAGGATCACCAGAATGGTGCTGGTGGTTGTGGCTGTGTTTATCGTCTGCTGGACCCCTATCCACATCTACGTCATCATCAAAGCCCTGATCACGATTCCAGAGACCACCTTTCAGACGGTTTCCTGGCACTTCTGCATTGCCTTGGGTTATACAAACAGCTGCCTGAACCCAGTTCTTTACGCGTTCCTGGATGAAAACTTCAAACGATGCTTCCGAGAATTCTGCATCCCAACCTCCTCCACCATCGAACAGCAGAACTCCACTCGAATCCGTCAGAACACTAGAGACCACCCCTCCACGGCTAATACAGTGGATCGAACTAACCATCAGGTATGTGCTTTCTAGAATTATATATAGTTTATAAAAAAAAATACAGCACCTGGTACCAGTCCAAGATTTAAAGTCTTTAGGAGGTAACTTACTCGGGAATTGAGGCCAGTCCCAAGAATAGAGAGAGGATGGGATCAAGTTCTGATCATAATGTCAGAAAGATGTGTCACATAAATGTGCTCAATATCTTTGTACATGGTCATTTAGGTATGAAGATATGATGACTGGCAATCTACTAAACTGCTAAAAGTTACTCTCCTAAGAGCCTTGCCTTCTTTGAAAAATTAATGGTTTTAGTACATCATAGATGGAATCCTACTTTGGAGTCCTTATTTCACACAGAAACTTTCTATATCCCGACAATATCACGCTAATATCTCTGCCACTTAAGAGCCTACCCACTCCAATTCTGTGGTTAAAGAGCCTTGTCCACTGTGGTCATAGGTACAACACAGTCCCAAAAACCAGTGTCAGGGCAAAGGAGAAAAGAGAAAAATAAAACCAAGCATAGCCATCCCTATGTCTGTTAAGGCTTTGGTTTGTACAGTCTTGTGTCCGAACGCTAGAGCAAATGCCAGCATATTACCTAACTAGTATGTTAAAATCAATTTTAAACACTTTCCATGCTATTTGGAAATGACTTAGGAGTGATTAGATGTTTGGACATCTAATCATCCAACAGAGTCCTACATCCAACAGAGAGTCCCAGGAAGACCCTAGATTTACTTACAATATTAAACCAGACAAGAAATGAACAAGGGGAGAGCGGATCACTTTGCAATAATTTGACATCTAACCTAAAACATCAGGACCCATATGACTTAATTATTAATTTAAAAAAATTTAAATAAGTGTTCCAAAATGCTTCCCATACCTAAAAATCACAGCGTATATAATTTTATAACACGGAGTTGGAATTCAAGCCTCTTGTGAAGTAAGTGCTTGGGTCAAAGTTTTGGGTCAAGTTCCTATTCCAAGGGGCAGGACTATGAGGTCAGCAGCTTCCTACAAAAGACTATAAAGTCCAGCAGAGGAGCGGCCAGAGGAAGGCCCGGCCCACCACGGTGGCAGCTGCTCCCACCTGCTGGAGCTTCATCATACCCATCCCTCACTGTCCCTTTTCCCCCCAGCTATGGCTACCCAGCCTAGCCGAGGCTCAGTCTTTCTAACTGACCTCATAGTTGTGTAATAACAGGCTAGACGAATCTGCCTCAGGAGACCTGAATCCTCATACCTGAATGAGAAACCGCGGCTAACACAAAACATGAGAGCCAGTACCCCTAGAGAGCATGTGGTACGGGTGGCAGATTCATTCCCAACTCAAAGGCAAATATTAACAAATTTGTCTCCCTGCTTCCAGCTCAGAAATCAAAGCCAGAAAGAAATCGGTTTCTCCTCTGCTTCCCCGCCCCACCCCACCACTGTCTCTCTCATTGTTATCCACATTGACATATCACCTGTTCCCTTTTTCTAAGCAGTCCTTCATTTTCAGTGGCTTTCAAACTCTTGCAGGTCACTTTAAAAGGGTAAGGATTTAAATTGATTCTTTTTTTTCTTTCTCCAACCCAGGGAGGTAACACATTAGAGAACACAATTTAAAACTCCCTATCCCCGGGCTTCAAATCCTTTGCATTGAATGAAATATTTTACTTTCATTACAGAAAAGGATGAGACTAAGGAAGCTTGGGCTCTTCCTCCCCTCCCTAAGTGCCATGCTGTGTCTTTTCCTCCTGACAGGCTGACAGGGGTGTGGCTGCTTGGTGGCTTTATTCTAGGACACTGCTGGGCCTTCTTATCCTGCCTGGCCTTCCTCTAACAGAGGCATAACCCCCAACCTCCTCTAGTTCAGCGCATCCCAGACTTGGACAAGATTACCCTCTTCCCCTTCTCCCAGTGCTGGCCTTGACTCCCTTCCAAACCCCGTGTTTGCACATCAGTGTGGTTCTTGCACAGCCAGAGAGTGGAAGGGAAGCTAATTGGAGAAGTTCTGTCCTAAGTCACTAAAAGGTTTGCTTTAAAAATACATCCAATTAGCACTTATCGCTCCTGCTGCCTCCGTGGAGCAGTGTCAGCGTCAGATAACAGAGAAGCACATTAGCCTGGAACTGGCTGCCTCCCAAAGGCCCAGCTGGGAGAGCTGGACCAAGAAGAGAAGCCGCAAGGAGCGGAAAAGATGCCCTGACATATCTGAAAATTAACAGAAATCAAGGCTCTTTTTCACCAAGCTCTACAGGTGTGTCTTTCTTTTAGGGCTAAGGCAGTCAGGTGAAGATGTCTGGAACAACAGGAAATCCTATGATGGTTATTTTCAAGCAGACATTCCTATCAGATCTGAAGGAGGCCCGACTGTGTGGCTCTGCCCCTGGGAATCATTAGATTAGCTCAAAGAGAGTCAGAATCTGACAAGCTGGCGTTGTGTTACTGTGGGTTTCGTGTTTGTTCGTTCGTTTGTTTTAAATAGGAGCCATGCTATTAGGAAACAAGGCTAATCAGACGGGCGTGAACTTTTTAGTTAGAAGTATTAGAAGTTTGTCATGGTGATCAATGCTTATATGTTCTGTCTATTTGTGTTTTCTCCAAAACTATGTGTTATATTCTGCGTGTCATACGTCAAGCACATTAGTCAGCTTCCTATTCTGCAGACCCAAGACCCAGTGTCAAACCTCCCCAGGGTGTCTGTATTATGACAGCTGTGCACTGAGGCCACGTCCACACAGCGCAAAGTGAAGTGGCGATGTGGCAGTCACCAAGGTAATTTGATAAGCCATGCAAGAAAGTATGACCAGCTCTAAAAACATCTAAGTTTTTCATGCACAACAAAATATTTCAAAGACTAGAATCTAGAATTAACTGTCTACGCAGACTGCAATTATATGATACATCAGTAATTTGGGCCAGACTTGCCTGTGCTCTGAATTTTAGTTATTTTCACTCAAGCCAGTCACTCTTTGGGGCTATCAGTCACCTAACCTAAGACAGTCATGGCAGGGATGGCTGGATCCATAGACTCTCATTCTCTAGAATGTTCCCTCAAGCTTGTCTTTACCCTGGCCATGGGTTCTGAGGAAGAGAAAAGAGAACAGGCCTCCTCAGGCCTGGTGACAGAAATACACAGTGTCGTGGGGTGATAGCTCAGTGGCAAAAGTCCTTGCTCCACAGGCCTGAGAACCAGAGTTCAGCTCTCCAGAAGCCATGTGAATGCTGAGGGGCAGGGGCCGACAGTCTGCCTGTGGTTGCACCACTGGGAAAACATGAGACGGGTATCCCTAGACGACGCTGCTTAGGGAAACCAGTTGTGTTGGTGAGCTCTAGGCTCAATTGAGAGACCCTCCCTCAATTAATAAGATGGAAAATGATCAAGAAAGACTCCCAATATCAACCTCAGGCCTCTGCATGTGCACACGCACACACACACACACACACACACACACACACACACACACACACACACACACAAATTCTTAAATAAATGACATAAAGTTACATCCATGGTTACTATGGATCAAACAACCCATCAACCTAGATTTGAATGGGTAGGAGGGAAAGACAACCTCCTGATGACTGGAGCTATGGTCACCTTGTGAAGAGCTAGAGGGAGGTGGAAAGGTCACTGTGGTCACAGTTGTTCATCCTATAGTAAACAGCTACCCCATTGCTTCCTGATTGTAGGAACACATCCATCTTGCTTCTTCTTGTGCCTCTAGTGTCTACCTAGCCCAGTCCCTGACACACTCCACAGATATCTACAGAATGGCTGAATAAGGGGAGAGCTGTGGTATTTTAGATACAGAGGTATATGAAGGACCTCTTATGTGACCGACTGCAACTCAAATTGACCCCATAACACTGAAATTTGGGGCCCACTCTTCAGAAACAATGAACAGTAGGCTTTCTCCACCCCAACCTGTAGTATTCTGATCATAAGTTAGACTTTGCAACTTGTCTTCTAAATTGATTTTTAACAAATGCTTTAAAGGACCAAGACCTGGACTCACTGCCCTGAAGAAGTCTTGTCATTACTGAGAATGGGGCAAGGGAAACGTTCTCCTCTGAACTTTGTTCATCCCAGACTCAGCATCCTGGTCTTTCTGCAGCACCAATGGTGGCTTTATGTTCATTGTGTCACCTTTATGGCTTTTTTTTTTTTATCTTGATTAAGTGGAGCCCAGTATTCCATCTGTTCCTGTTACAATTGAGTTTCCCCAGCCACGTAGCATCTTGCTGTCCTGTTGAACTGGACAGAACACTTCCCACTCTGGATTCTAAGCAACATGAGTCTCATTCAGACCTGAAATGTCACTATCCACACAAAGCCTTTCCTGCCTGGTTTCCACCCCAACCTTACCCATTCACGTACTTTCTACTCGATAACCTGAGTGATTTTGAAAATGTTTGACATCATATAAGGGAAGGGGGTGAACCTGTTAGGTCAGCATGGTTATTATTTAAATACAGTAACTATAATCATAGAAGAATGCTGTGATGCTTTCCTATACCAACGCACAAATTAAAAGGGGATTGTGTGTGGTCCAGCACATCTCTTTTCCCATAACATCTCTGACAGATAAGCATGAGAGGACAAATGTTCATGAAGGTTAAATGGTTATACAACACCCAATAATTAGTAAGAGGCACACTCCAGACCAGCACCACTGGTTTTAAGAATAATTGAGAACCGTTCTCTTCTGCCCCTCCCCCCCCAATGTTATGCCTCCTTCTGTGAGTGCAGTATAAACATAGCCAGAGATTCTCGGCCTTCATGGTAAACTCCAGACAATGCAGGGTCTGTAAGATGTCTTTGAAGGAATCATAGCTCATTGTGTGGGGCCAAGAATCAGCATCTTAAATAAAACATCATACCAGAATTTCTGACTTAAATAGTGGGCAAGGTGCTTATTGCATGATAGTGAAGATTCAAGTCTGCATCCTTAGTATCCACATAAAACTCCAGGTCATGCGGCACATATGTAATCTCCGGATCATGTGACACCTATGTAATC